TTGTCGTTGTTGTTATTATCAATATTAACCACTTCTCAAAATGTGAGTTTCATATTGTGTGTGGTTACATGTTCCACATATGTGACACTCCTCAAAGTTATTTCCATACACACTACGAAATAATAATAAAAAACTAGCACTATATATTTCCATCCTGTTGAGGTTATATTATCTGTGGGTTGTTTTCTGCAGAGTCAGGGCTCAGAGTTTGTTTACTGGTCTGGTCGGGCAGCCAACTCACCACAGAACATCGCCCAGACAGCTTGGACAGCTCGCCTCTCCGAGCATTCAGGGCTTTTAGGGAGTCAGAGGGGGGATGGGGGGTGGAGGGGTGGCTGTGATTGTCAGGGATTGCACAACTGTGAGTGGAGGAATGTGCCTGCCCTTGGGACCCAGAAATATTTTAGCTGCAAATACAGAGAGGGCTGAGGTGGGATAAGGAAAAAGCGAATAAAATGAAAGGAGAAACCAACCATTGAGTAAATGGTAAGTGTGGAGTTTTTCTTCCACATGATGTCCCAGCTGTGTTTTCATTCTGGTGTGTCCAACCCTATGGTGATCTTTATATGAGAATGAAATAGAACAAATAAGCAGTGTGTGTCATAAATGCACCGTACAAACATTTTTAAGTTTTATGATGGGGGTCTGTCCCGTGTTTAGCAAACTGTGGTAGGAGAAAGGGACGTAAAACAGAGGCAAATTATTCAACAGAAACTTTGACCCTTGCTAATCTCGCTCTGTGTGATTGGGGTCATGCAAATATTGCTGAGAAAACAGGGAACCAATGTGATTGGACAGAAGCTTGTGGACTCAAATGGAGGGCAGCGCACCTTGAACCCTGCCTTGCTGTGTGTTTAATGGTGGCTCACATTTCAAACTGTCAAAGGACACATAGCACATTATATTCATAATTGTACAACTCATGTTATAATAACAGAAATTAGATTCACAAATGTAAATTCTCACGGTTTTGGTTTTGCAATTCAACAGCCATAGGGAGTTCAGGAGCTTTTACTTTGACTTCACATGTAAGGCCTCTGACATAATGTTCAAAATAGTTTGTAGGGTGTAGTATTTCCCCTAAAGAGACACATTTCACTACAAAATAATATATTGGGTTTTGCAGTATTAAAGAGTATTTGTTTTCTTTTCACACAGCATTTAGAGTAATGGATTGGAAGTGCATGTTTGAGGAAGTTCAGAAGAAATAGAAAGAGGAGAATTCCAGGAGAAAGCCCCAGTGTAAGACACTGAACATCTGTTTGAGCTGTTAGTACAGGCAGTTGTCTTGTGCATTTCTCCAAGTATGTGGAAGTAATTGCATTGTCTTTCTGAAAAAACAACCCAAAAAAATCTGACATCTTCCTCAAAAGATTAAATTGTTCATCACTGAGGGGCTGAACTCATTGACGGACAGAGAACTTCACTTTTACCAAGTGGATGACTCAGTGCACAAAACACACTGTATAATTAGGACTAACCTTTGAGATGATTGATTTTCTCTGTAAAGCCATTAACTATTTTACCTTTGTGCTGCCTGAAAGGCATTTTCGGGTGAACGCACAACAAATCTATTCCATGTGATGCAGCCGTGGAACATGAAAACGTGTTATGCAGTGACTAATGTTTGAGTTTGTATGGAGGGAATGGAAATTACTTGTGAAAGGAAGTGGAGTGGAAGGCACGGGACAATGATGTCAAATGGACCAAAAATAAAGTTACTTACAATCATGATGACATTCTCTTGCTCCAGCTTGTAAACAGTGTGGCAACCTTATATACAGTCTATGGTGGCAACAGACAAGACTACATCTATGATGTAGTAGCACATAAAAAATCCAGTAAACTGAGCTCTGCAGTTGATCATCATAAGGTAAATAACAACCAATGTAGCAGGAGCTTTGGGGAGGCGGAACTTTAATTATCTTACTTCCTCCCATCATTGTTTGTTTTTCTATAGTTTACTCTTTATGTATGAGCTGCCCACCTCCATGATTGTTTTATTGTTTTGAAATAAAAAATTTTGTAAAATAAACATTTATTTGATTTTATATATATATCTAGCATTAATCAGACCATCTGCTCTAAAAGTGTAAACTACTACTAATCACAAAGATATAAGCGTAAAACACACTAAATGGGAATACTGAAGTACAAATATAGTTACATTTAATCGTAGTTTACATCATACATATATATACATATACACACACACATATATAAATATATATGTAAATGTGTCCATGAACTGCTGGGCGAGACTCTCTCTCTCCCTCACTCTCAGTGTTTCTTACTCTCTCGCTCAGTCTCTCTACATTTCCCTCTCCCTCTCCCTCACTCTCTCAGTGTGTGTCTCTCTCTCCCTTGCTCTCGCTCAGTGTCTCTCTCTCCCCCTCACTCTCTCAGTGTGTGTTTCTCTCTCCCTTGCTCTCGCTCAGTGTCTCTCTCTTTCACTCTCAGTGTGTGTCTCTCTCTCTCCCTCACTCTCTCAGTGTCTCTCTCTCTCTCTCTCTGGCTGAATCGGAGGGGAGATGCTGGAGTCGGGAGAAGGTCCGCCATTATTGGGAAGCTGAAAAAAAGCAGCAGAGACTTGTACACACCGTCACACTTCGGGCCTGTCGCGGTCTGAACGTGAGGCAGCAGCCCGGTGCCGTGCGAGCTGCGGGTCAGAGGAGAACCGGGCGTGTGAGTGGAGTGACGACGGGACGCTGCGTTTCCACACGGACCCTTTATTTCTTCACACAACAAAGGAAATAATAATTGGTCAAAACAACGTGGTGGCGAAGCGAGAAGGAAAAACCAGGCAGCGGCAGCAGCTCCTCTCCTCTCCTCCCCCCTCTCCCTTCTCCGGTGTAAAGACTGGAGTTTGAACAGCAGCGACGTTTCTCTTCTTCTCAGTCCTGACGAGGTTTTAGTTGTTTTTCTCCCTGAGACACACGAGAGATAATGTGCATGTGAAAACTTCAGGCTGACGAGGAGGAGCAGCGGAGGACACGCAGCCTGTTTAGCGAGAGAGACCGAAAGAGAAGGAGGAGAAGAACCGATGTGAGGGGTTTTGTCTCTTCTATTTTTTAAAAAGTCTTTCACCGGCCGAGAGTCGCAGAGGAAGAAAAGGAGCGGACGGGGTCTGGAGAGGGAGGAATGCTATGGTATGTAGACCACACGCTCCCCTTTCCAACACATAGGCTCACACACGTGAAGGGAGCATTTTAAGAGCTTAACTGTGTTTAAAAGGCGTTTCAAGGCCTTTATTTCCCTCTACTTTGCTGCATGGGTTGGTCAAGAAAACTGGGAGTCAACCTCAGCCCCCCCTCCCCGGAGGGCTGGTGTGATTTGAAGCCTTTAAAAGTAAGAATAATGATGATCTTTAATAATGATGATAATAATAATAATGCATTGGTGGATTTAAAAGAAATCCACACATGCAGCTGCTCCCCTAATGTTTCTTGTTTAAATGCCAAGTTTAGAGAGGAGAAAAAGGGAGGTCATAAAAATGGATCTTGTCCAAACATTAAAATTGTTTGCACAACATCACCTGGAATGCATTGGTGTTATCAGGTCTTGAGAGGCTGCACCATATACCTTTAAAATATGAGGACTTTGTGGACTTAGCAGAGGGGAAATAGGATGTTTGTGTTGGACTCTCTCGCCATCTGTCAAGCAACTGCATGCTTTGCTTGTTCATCGATGTGCCAATCATCTCCTGGATGAATAAATGCATCACACCAGAGGTTTTCGAGAAGTTTTAAAGGAACCATTTTAACTGCCTGCCTACGCTCAACACTTGGGTAGCCGTCATCAGATTGCAAAACACGAGCTCTTAAACATACTGAATTTGCAAACCTCAAAGCTGCATGTACAGGGCTTGCTGGTGACACACTTACCTAATGTGCATACGCCCTGAAACTCTCCCTTGTTCCCTTTTCCTTCAAACTGTACCTGTCACACACAAAGAAACTCTCAAATCTCTCTGGATTGTACGCGTAGCTGTTTCTCCACCAGTTAAATATCCCAGGTTGGGAATATTTACCATGACTCTCCAGATGATGCATTTCTCGCTCTTTATGCTGCTGATAGGCAGATTAAAGGGACCTGATGGTTGCATTTACCACAACCAATAATCTTTGAGGTGTTTTTGTGCCAGAACTAGTCACCGGTGTGTCAGCTTAATTTCACTGCCTCTGCAAAGTGGTCCCTGCCCCGTCAGCCACTCCCTTTTCATCAGTCCTTCCACTACACTTCAGTACGTTTTATTTTTCTAAAGTGATTTGTTCACCTGCCTCTGGATTATTGATGTAATATTGATTGGGAACAATTTCAGGAGGGTGACACAAGTGGGTGAACATCAGTGTCAGTTTTTGATATGGCCTGAATACAGAGGTGCATAGCAAGATGGCTGTACTGCTGTGTCACTGACAAAAAGAAGAGAGATTTTCAGGACACTTTTAATAATGGATATATTCTGGTTTGATATTGTTTCAAACAATCAAGTTCCACCTGGAATAAAATGCGTCCCTAGGGCGAGTTGGCTTTTGAGAATGCGTCTCCACACGTGTCTCTAATGACCACTTTTGATCTCACTTCCCTGCTCTATATTCTCAGAAACATGTACATCATTCCTGTTTTCAAAGATTAAATGTGTTCTAACTCCAGTGCCTCGTATGTCAGAAATTAAAAGAAGAAGAAATCAAAGCAGTGCAGACCAGGTATTTTCTTTGGTATCCGTCCATTATCAATGCCTTTTATCCTTTGAGGGAAGCAATCCCCAGCGGACATTGGGTGAGAGGCGGGGTACACCCTGGACAGAATCACCCAACTTGCTTGATGCACTTTATTTCGGCTTTTCTAAAAATATAGAATTGTCCTCGCACTTAAATATATGACAAATATGGTCGGATGAGGGTCGTGGGTGCATTAACACCTGTATTATACTGAGCTGTCCACTTCTAATTAAATCACTAAAGACGCATGTGAGCTGAGCCTGAGTTGACTCATAATTCTGCATCAGCTCCTGTTGAGTTTCTAACCCTTTGAACCGAATCAAACTTACCGAGAGCACCATGCTAAGGTAGAAGAAAACACACACGTATACACATTTTCTTTGGTGAGCCAGTCTCTTTGCTCTTAGGTAAATGTATTAGCAGCTGTCAGCACTTCTGTTCTCTGCTTGATTGGGCCCTTTGCAGCGCAGTCACACCTCTCCAGGAAGCCTCTTCTTCCTCTAATAGCCATGCCATTTGCCCAGGCAGCAGGCTAGCTACCAGCATATACCCACTCAATCCTGTCTGTCCACCCGCCTGCCTCTGGGCTGCGGATTGTGTTGTGAATCCCTGGGCTCGAACAAGTTCCTGGGATTAGAGGCGGGCTTTGCTCGTCAGGATGTAGGTCAGAGATGCGGATACATCCTTTTGATGAGGACACAGAAATTGAGACTGTCCCATATAATGTGGACGGATAAACAGTTTTCAGAACTGAAAACAGTGGAAGGATTCTTTCTTCATATTGTGTCTAATTCTGAGTCCTCGTTTGACTTCTCAAAACTGGACCAATAATCAAATAAGAAACGGAAAATTACTTGAGCTTTTTAGTTTTAAACATGCCCTCAATCACTAAGTCCTGCTGTGAGCATATTATTTTAATAAGGAACAATATGTGTCTGACTTGTAATACCACTTCATTTGATAACTCGCCCCATGCCACATTATTTCCATGTCAACTCAGGCTTTTATGTCCACAAACCACTGTGCCGCTGAATGAAACGATGGGCCTCTCCCCTGCTCATTTGCAGATTTCACAGTGGGCATACCTGTCAACACGGGGCAACTATGTATCTGCAGAGGATGGGAAATTTCCCTGCTCATCCGAAAATGCGCCAAATCTCCTCTCTCTCTTGTTCTACAGGAGAGGTTTGCTTGTGAGTCAGTGTGAGCCTGTGTTTGATGGAGAAAGGAGCTAATTATAGCGGGCAGCTTTGGAGTTTGGTGGACCAGATTACAGTCACTCTCCTCTCAATGGCTGCCTTGTTCTGGTGGCCGATTATTAGGCAGAGAGAAGTGCATTCTGGGATGATTGTATCTGAATTTCCATTAGAAAGTGTGCCTGCCTCAGTTGAACTGAGGTTCTCTTCTCTCCCCACAGTTTCAGCTTCATTTGCTCATTACAGATTTTGCAGATGGGGACAACTTGATATAAAAGCCTCTGTAGTGCACCCCCCACACTGTTTTAGAGGCAGTTTAACTGTACCCTGAATCGCCAATTTGTGTATGGGGGAGCTGACCCCAGATCAGCAGCAGTGAATGTTTGAGTGACGTGATGATAAAAAAAAGTATCCTGTGCGTAAGACCTTCATAACTAATGAGTGTCCTATGAAATCAATCAGCAACAAAGACTGCATTTGCTCTATATCCCATTCCCACTTTATTATAGTATCGCTTTTCCAATGCAAATGCATTATTAATGCAATGCTAGTGGTAAGTAATGACTTTAGATATGATTAATGGTTGGAATGGTGGATGTTCAGATACTTCAAACTAGCTTTCATGTTTCTATGAGAAAAAAAAAGACATGGACGGCTGAAAGCTGTTTGGAAGCATGGTGACCATGGAGATAAAGGACCAGGATGTAAGCCACAGAGGAATGGTGACCTCTGTGAGTGAGCGGCCCTGCTTTGCTATTCCAGATACAATTACACAACAGAGGGACAGAAGGGTCGTAGAGAGGGGGGGGGAGAAACTAGGAGAAACCAGAACTAGGAGCAGCGACAGAGTGACACAACAAAGTGTGTAGTCTTTTGGAGGGGAAGAGGAAAAAAAAAGCTAGGAAGAATGAGAGTAAAGTAAAACGCAAGCAAACTGCTGCCAGTTTCTGCTTCAGGCTGTGTTCCTGGTATGTGCCCTTTCAGCTCTGTGCTCAGGGATCGACCAATCAATGACAGCCATAAGTAACCCTGCTGCTTGGCTATTGGCCACTGCAGAATTCCATGACTCAGCACATCCGTAGATAAGATGTTATGATTGAGTCCCTGCCAATGAAATGAGGCCACTGCCCAGAGTTCAGTAGGTTGGACTTGTTTGCACCACCTACATGCAGTACCCCCATGCTTCTTACCCTTCTGCGTCTCTGTGTTTTGTGACTTTTGCGATAAGGGAGGCTTGTTATGCATCATTACATACAGCGCTCCATTACATTATCATGTGAAGGGCCTAATGGCTTCTGATTGTTTTCCAGTGAGTCAGTTTTTAAGCTAAACTTGGGATTTTGAGAGGCTATAGACGATGCAAACCTCTCACCCTCAGAGACAAAGAAACTGCCCTGAAATCCACCTACACACGTATTAAAGGATATAACTCTGAGCATGTTTGTCGTCTGCGGACACACACACACACTCACACATTTCCCACACTAACCCAACGCTTAGGTTTCATCTTTGCCTCAACCTGTCTGTTTTGCTGACCTACCCTAATCTCACCTGCAAGGCCCCAGGCTCCTGCGCCAGAATTACACTGCAGTCATGAGGAGAAGCCCCTGCATGTCATTGTTTGACTTTCTCTCTGGAGGTTGTCTGTCATGGCGCCCCTAAGTTGCCTGTAGGAGGTCCACCTATGCCTGGTTGCAGGGGGGGGGAAATGGGAGGCCACAGGAGGGGTGAATAGGGTGAGGAGAAGAGAAGGGCAGAGGGGTCAAAGGTGA